AATTGGTGGCACGTTAAAGAACCCCAGGTGGTCGAAATTTCCGGCGCCCTCCACTACGGCGTCTCTCATAATCACATGGTGGTCTTGGGCCGCTCAACCTCACATGTCAATCAACAAATGGGTTTGAAGTAGACATTCAATAATACCGGTGTCATATGGGTACGTTTAATTCCATTCAGTTTCGATCCACATTAACCACGACCCGGATTATGTGCTATAACTGGTCACATTAAATCTCGATCAGGTGTGATCGGGATTAAGACTGTCGCGATCCGTGCATCGCGATCTGCCAGAGAGATTGAAATCGCACTGCCGTCTGCACCCCAGGTTGAACTTGTTGAAAGCCCAATAAACAACAAAATCGAGCATAGTTTTATTGAAAAAGTTTAAAACAGCTATGTTTAAAAAGTAAATTTTAAACTGTTTAAATTTGAAAAATACCAGAAATATTGATTTTAAAATTCACATCGACCACATGTAGTATGGGAAAAGCAGACGACCGCTGCTAAATTAATTAAAGTAATAATAAATGGTTTGGATGCGATAGGACGAGAATTTTCATCGATTACTACTGATTATTTCGTAAACGTAACGTGAATTTAGCTTCATGACAGAGCCTATGCCCTAAGAACAATGGGACATCAAGGAAGTGTTTTATTCATGTAATTTACGCTGCAAATAAAACCTGCTAGGGACCCAAATTAGCGCGACAGGGACACGTACTGCCTTATGGCCGAATTCATTTGCTCTTAAGAGATCATTGACAGTATCTTGTAAAACAACTTTAAACCTTACAGTGGGAGCATAGTCTAGGCGCTTATAAATATCGTATAGTGGAGCAACCCGTGGGCTTCACTCATAGTTTGTTTTTACGGATAATTACAACGGCACCTCCTTTGTTGGCTCGCTTTTCACACGTATCACTGCGTTCGGCCAGTGACGGAGTAGCTTTCCTTTCCTCAATTGAAATAGATTTAAACATTTCTGCTTTTAGTAGTTTTGAGGATGTCATGTCGGACAGCTTCAAGACTTGTCTAGATAATTTTCACGTTGGGCTGCAGGTGTCCAACGGTTGTTGCTGAACATAACTTGCTGATTGTCGCTAGTTGACTGATTACGGAAACCTTCTCTTAGACGCATTTACGTGGAAGTTTTTCTGAATCCTTAGCCAATTCAAATCATCGGATCCGTCATTTGCAAGACATTAGGAGAGGCCCTATGACAAGATGAGCAGTTCGTCTTTATTAAGCTTATGGGCAAAAGGTACACTACTTGAGTAGACGGCCACGTGGTATTCTCAGTAAACGCGTTTGTCGGAACTGCCGTTATTGCCTGCTCTGGAAACAACAAGTGGTCCAAGCCTTCACGGAGCAGCGTTTTACGTTTTCGGTAGTACATTCTAGCTTCTTCACTTTATAACTATTCAATTCGGCAATTTCAGTAGACGAGGCGTTTACCTATACATAATTTAGGAAACACCCTTTATGAAATGAACAAAAATTTTCATAAATTTTTGTTATGATGATGCTTTTTTCACCTTAACTACTATAACTGTGTTCGAGGTAAAGATGATAGGCTTGTGCGAAAACTTACAGCTTACGAACTGTTAATCAAATATTTCGCGAATCAGCAATCAGGAGACGCACGGGAAACCAAATGTTGTAAAATGCATAAATGATACTCCGCTGATATAATGTTATTTATAGTAAGGAAGGAAGTGTAGTTTGCATTATGCAATTGAAATTCTCGTTTTATTTTCAGATCTCAGAATATGGACATGAAACCACTAGTAAGTTACGTTTTACAATTGCAGTAAAGCATATATCGAGCCCTCACAGATATGTGAAAGCTTAATGAGGGTAGTGATAGGTCATCTGAACAACAAAGTTTAACTGACTGAACAGTAGTAATTATTTGGAGTGCTATAGTTTGGGCAGGTATGCGCTAATGGAGTTCGGCTGTTGAACGACACCTGCCAAGAGAAAAAATACCTTTACTGCGTCTTGCCCCGTTAGTTACTTACCCGGGCTGAGAGAGGCTATTTAAAACTCAGATATGAACGAAGGGGCGGCCACCCTTGGAAAACAAAATGATAGTCGTATCGTAAGAGGAAGGAAGGAAGACAGATATCTTAACCAGTCTAGAGGAACTTGTTCGCTACGCGGGTACAGGGACGGGTGACTTTCAAGATAAAGGAAAAGAAAGGAAGAACGGGGAGAACACGCACATACTAAGACGCACACTTCAGATTTTTGATAAGGTGATTAACCTTCACCAGTCTTTGCAAGGTGGATGCCCTTAAGAACTCGATGGCTTTATAGTATATTCTAGAATAGCACATACGTCACCATTTCTTTCGAGCTAGGCCGAGTTGAGCAATCACTCCACTTGTTCTATGTGTAATCCCACACAAGTAGCCTCCCATAGCTTCATATAGCCTCTCTAAAACCTGCACGTGCGAACGTGGTACCACTTGTCTGGGCCACCATCACCGGCTTTTCTGATGCACGACCATGAGTTTCCAGCAAAACAACGCTTAGATAACGGTGTCTTGTGAAGTGCTTACCTTTTAAAATTTCAGCGTACTATTTAATCTCATTCTAGATTGTTGAAAATTGTCACTGTAGACTCGTACTTCTAATATGTAGAAGTAATTGCAATATGTAACTACAGGTATATATGAACAGGAGGGGTAATTGCCACCACAGACATGTCGCGTTGCCTAATACGTTAGTTAGTACAGGAATGAGTGCTGCAACATGGGTAGGTCATATATACTAGACCAAAACTAACAGACGATGAAGCAAATGAATATTTGGAACATTCGTTGCAATGCTTTAATCATACTGCAGTAACTTTGATACAAATGGAAACAAACGAAATAAAAAAAGGAGCTTACAGCCAGCAGCTACCAAACCTGCAATGTTCGAATGAAGCGCCGGAATAATTCACGGTATTTCTACGCACGCAAGTGAAGATATGTTTTTATTTCGTTATATAAATAAAAAACTGAAAAACTCCCAAAATTTCCCTTCTCTAGGTAATATAAATGTATTGTTTTTTTTCGTTGCTATAATAGAAGACACTTTCACGTGCAATAACCAAATATGTTAAGCTATACAGAAATGCGCTTTCAGGTTGCTGAACTTGGCTCTCACATTCCGTGGTTCAGTATGGTTCGGCACATTTTCACAGAACTCTTTAATTCAAAAAGTCACAGCTTTGCCGCAAAGGCTAAGCAATGAACGTGATAGCAATGAATTAGAAGGCCACGTGCCAAATGGCAAGCAAATCAAAACGTACCCCGCGTTTTCACTGCACAAGGACGCATGAAACGTGCTCACAGGTACAGATGAACGCGAACAAGTGTCTCAGTTGTTACTTCGCTCTGTCTGAAAAGCACGCTTTTTTCGCGAACGGAGATTGTGCAACGATTGCAGTGACCTTTGTGCGCCCGGTAACTACAACACAATCGTTCCGGTGAACGCTTAAGGACAGCCAAGACATAGGATGCTCACAACTGTGAGATAAGGGCATGAGAATGTGTGCTAAAGGCTTTACGACCACCTAGTCCTCTCCGCGACGCGAAATACGCGTGGGAGATGAGGGCGCGCGCCGCTGCGCGCTCATCGCGCCACCTTGCTGTTAATGCTGAAAGCACGATTGTTCGCCTGCGAGATGCGCATCACCAACGGTAAGTGGTGTATATGAATAGATTCCGTTTACACATTGAAGGACGTGCTTTTCTTTAGCTCAGTCGTTAACGCCTCGCTCTCACGACGCAGAGGTTCCGAGTTCAATTCCGCCTGCCGGAGTTTTTTTTACTGGATCTTTTTATTTCTTACGTTTTCATAAATATACATACGTACACATATACGGTGAGTGACGCCGGCGGCAAAATTAAGCCGAGAGTGTCCTTGTATTGCTAATGCAATAATATACATTTTGTTCATATATATGAAATATATACTGCATTTATATGCAAATTTGCCTACGCTGTAATAACCCTTGAGAGTAGTACACAAGAACACAAGAAGTTATTCAAAATAATTGACTAAAAACTACCCAAGTATGTACCACACTAAAAAACACACTTTAATTGGGGTGGAATAATTGTACTTCGTTCCAGTGCTCCCCGATTTGGATAATCTTACCCTGGTTGATATTGGGCCTGACCACTTCACCGTGTCCTGGATGCATCCCGTGGCCCAGTTTGACTATTACTGGTTGGAAGTTTACAAAAGAGACGACGGAAGTGATACTATTACACCTCAACGCGTCGGATCGTGCGCTAATGGAACTATCGTTCACCGTGAGCAAACTCAAATCACCTGCGACATGTTCAAGCCGTGCAGCAATGTGACGATCACACTGCACACGCAAGCAAAGGGCACCTCTGAATTCGTGTCTACTGGAGCTACGCTCCAAGGAATATTCATGCCTGGAAAAGGTACAGTGCATTTTTTTTCTAACACCCACCTAGCCGTCATTCTTGTTAGAAAAAATATATTAACCTGTTTTTCACGGTATAAATGTTTGTAGTATTGGTGGTAAGGCTAAACCTCGTGACATCAAAATATTAGAACATGCACAAATATTGCCTACCTTGCACAGTGGTTGCAAATCATGCCCACAGAGCGCGATTACGCTATCGTCCTCTACATTCAAAACCGAACCTCAGACGCCCTCTTAGGTTTCGTACGAAGCAGCAAAGTCAACAGAGCGGAGACGTGCAGCACCAGAGCTATAATTTTCCAGAACCTTAGCACGCTTCACTAATTGTTCACACAACTTCCCCCATTTCGTAACATAAATTGTGGGGCTACCTCAAGTGGGACAATTCGCAATTATTCACAACAAGAACATTTTCTGTGACGTCGGTTAACTCGTACCTATTCTGAACAAAATGTAGTTGTTTCACGCACTCACTTTATGTTCGAAGCCTGTGAGTTATTTTCGAGTCACGTAGTGCATGAATTCTGTTAAAACATTGATTCCGTACGTGCCATCCTGAAAGCTTTCTGAAGTGGAACTTGCCGAGAGACTCGACTAGGGAAAATCTTCCACACACCCCCACTTATCACAGAAATCGATGCTACGGGAAACACGCGGCTGGAAGATCAATGCGGTATAAATGTTTTACATGGCGAAACAATGCCAAATTACACTAACTACATGCACAAGCGTTGACCGCCCAAACAAATGTTCAAAGGTCGAGTGTTGTTAAGTATTCAGTTTCAGTTGCGTAACATTGCCAACAGCAACGTAGATATTGCATATACAAGAAGCGGTAAGCTCACATATAGCGCTTGTGCTTGCGAGGAAGGTAGCGCTAGTAAGTGTCAAGTATAAAGCATCCATGAAATGTGCACAATTAGTCAAGTGACGTTATCCTGGCTTAACGCTTGCATCAATGAACACATATGTAATGCCTATACACCATTTTTGAAACGCGCTCAGCACTGCAATCTTGGACGGATAATTTTGTGGTTTAGCATTCGTATCAAGTAAACAATCAGTGCTACGGTGACCTCACACGCACGAAATCGCTTTGCTGGCACATTCAACGTTTCATGACCACGATCATTTCATGCTGTGACAAAATCAAGAAAACAAAGGCTTATCAGTCCAAAGTGGCTGCTCCCATTAGTCGAAAAGAAGATTGTATGTAAAATAAATAGGAAGCACTGCAACCACAAGTGGCTTTTCAACAACATTAAACTTATGTAGGCTTATTTTCTAAAGCAGTTTTGAGAGCTGGCGCAACTGGATTTCCACGCAGAATGATCGACTTCGATTCTTTGCTGAGACCCTGATATTTTTTACCGATTCGTTCAAACAAAGCTTTTAATGTGTGCTTTTTCTAACACTCTCGCATTGAAATGACGAAGGTCATTTCAATGCGAAAGCGTTCAGAGAACACTAACCGCCCACTTCGCCACATTCACACATCCCACCACTTTTTTATGTATAGAAACTCTCAATCAGCTGTGGCCTATACCCGCATACTACGGCACGTGGTCGAGGGGCATGTGGCACACGTGTCTGGAGCAAGGCGTTTGACGACGTACGTGATGCGAATTTCACATTATTGATGTAGTAACTAGCCATACCTATTGGTCACACCCTTTTACCCTGCCGTAAGAATTATAGTCTACAGCAAATTGAGGAGGCAATTACGTGTACGCCATGACGTAATCTGATGGATAGATACGCATATAGAAGCTTTCATTGTGCCTGAAGGATGCTCGAAATTGCCTCACATTTAAAAATCACAATACACCAATTCTAGTAAAGTTGCGTCTACAGAGACGGTAATTTCAAGTGAAAACTTTTACTTTGGAAGAAACGTTTTAAGTACTTCTGTATACATAAATCACTAAAAAAATTCAAAGACGTGATTTTTTGTTGCTAAGTTTGTGGTTAAAAAGAAACAACACATGAAAAGTCATTGTTAAGCGCTTTCTGTTAATAGACAATAGGTGAAGTGCTTCCTCTCTGGCGTGACGCAGGCATTCCTGAAGTCGTGAAGCTCAAGCAGACAGCCATCGCCAAGAATTCTGTCACTCTGTCCTGGGAACGACCGAAGGGTTGCTTCAATGACTACTTGGTCACAACGAGCGCAGAAAACACGGAACTCTCTAGCCAAGAGACCAGCGCTGGTACATGTGGTAACGGAACCATTGTTTCCGCAAACGAGACCAGTGTCACGTGTGACGGCATCAGGGCGTCAAGTGTGAGCATCATGGTGCAGACACGCAGGTTGAAGTCGGACGGTCTTATTTCGCAAGGCGTGACACTTCAAGGAATCACCATGTCCAAACTTGGTACACAAGTCTGTATTTACCTTATGTTTTGTAGCTGTGTTTAAAGTGACTGTGATAGATGCGAAACAATCACTTGGATTGGTTACTGAAATGTCTCCCACTTGAAGTTGTGTTGCTCATAATACTGAAGGCAGTGTTTAGACGCCCCTGGAGATATGTTACTCTCAATAATGGTGTCTCCTGGACAGCCACGCTCTGAGGGATAAATTTATTTACTTCAACTATGTTAGCTGATGTTTATTAACTTATTTATTCATAATACCTACAAAGCTCATTGAAGGTGGCTGACGAAAACGAAAAGCCAACATGAATTAATGGTAACGCAATACCACAGGCCGTCTTTATAGAATATTATGAAGAACGTTGTAATATTACAACGAAGTCACCACCGTTTTATATGGATGAGATGTAATAGTGTAAAAAAATCTTTGATTGTACAATAACTTGAGGCTGTGAGTGCATGCTAAATGTATGCGTTGGATCATGTCTATGTACGAAAGCCAGCGAATTGCACATACGTAGTTTTGGGCCGTAAAACACAAACATTAATAAAGTAAAAAAACTATTAAAACTATATAAAAACAACCACCAACATTCCTTTATAGGAGACTGCCCTAATTCAATATCGAGATATTAAAAAGAATTCGTAATTACTCTCGCGATGTCTGTTTAGTTGAGGCAAATTATTTTCTTGTCGAAACAGAACAGCGGTGGAAAAAGGACAAGAGTTTGCAATCATGAACTTTTTTTAAAACGTCTGTATTGAACATGTGTACCGTTTAAAAGGAAAAGTCTGGGCGAACATGGTTTAAAATGTGAAAGAAAGTCTTAGCGCAAGAAATAACATTTATACTGGACTATGACGGGTACCAGCATCTCTAAAATATGACGGTTGACACAGAGTTTGGGTGGGTACATATTATCAGCTAACACAAATACACCAAGGTGATTCATCAGAACTAACAAACGCAAAAAGGCCTACGTACATGCCGTACAGAGACCATACATACGGACTCACACAGAGTCGCAATTCGTAGAGCTTAATAAAATTGGGGCCATAATAGAGAAACAATACGACGTGAGCACACAAATACAAAGAAGATTGAACAGGCTGAAACGTCGAAATAAACCACGTATATTAGAATATTATATTATATAATATATCTGTGTGTGTTTGTGTTGTGGTGTTTTGTGTGAGAGAGAGAAGAGAGATTCCAAATTGACATACTTCATAGTGATCGTGCGTAACACATACTTGTTTCTGCAGTGCTGCCCGACGTAAACGAACTTCAGCTTGATGGATGTTGGACCCGACTCTTTCACGGTATCCTGGGCAAGGCCGTCCTCTTATTCGATTACTACTGGGTTCGAGGTGTACGACAACAGCAACGGGACTGACATCCCTACACCGCATCGAGTTGGTTCATGTGCATACGGGACATAATTCATCGAGATCAGACCCAAATCACCTGCGACAAGTTAAGGCATGCGTGAACGCGAGCATCACAGTACGCACAAAGCAGGGTCCCTCAGGTCTTACATCCCCGGGCACGCTCAGAGGTATCTTCGTGCCAGGAAGGGTAGGGTATACTTTTCTCATTCTATTATTCGGACTGGAGACAGTTGCTGTGTGCAAAAGTTCAGTAGGCAATATTCTGACAAACTGCGCAATTTGCTGCTCTGGCACGTCTTGTTCTCCTATTGCTATTTTTTTGCCAGCACGTAGGCCTGGCATTGGTTTTTTTGCGCTGTCACGAGATCGTATGATAATTTTTCTGGGTTTCACGTAATTGTTTAGAACTCAAACAGCTCAAACAGTTAGGGACGCTTTATTGTGATAGCAAGTGCGTCAAGACGAAGGTAGTGGCCTTAACAATGCGCTATTCGCGCTTACATGGAAAGGTAAGAGTGCTAAACATGTGATAGTAATAAGAAGCCGGAATGTGAATTAGGACGTGTGCCTTATTCAGAGAATGAGGTGGGTTGTTTCGAGTGTGAACATTGCGCTCTATTTATAATATTCATGTCTGACAAAAAAACTCGTGGATAACCATTCTGGATCACCACGTGTGCACATTGAGTATACTTAGAATAAAATCCTTTTTCTGCGCATTACATCTCTATGGATGCTTTCGTAGTAATGGAGATTGTGGAGATTATTGCTAATAAATTTCTTCAGAGCTTCATTACTAAACTGGTGCAAAAGTTGTTGAAAAGGGGATCAATCCTTAACGCAATCAAAGAAGTCATCAGGCACTGCGGCCAAAACTTCGTTTAATTTTCACTTTCTTTTATTGATTGCATAAAACTAAATTTGTGGGACACCAAGCGAAAAAAGTCAATCGATCGGCTTGAGCCAGTCGACTTGTAATGCAGCGCAAATGAGGCTAACGATCAGTGGTACCAAAAAAAAAAAACAGAACAAAACATTGCAGAAAAACTGTATTTCACATGTCTAGTCTCCACGCAGAAGAAAACTGGCTTGAATAGACATTATAAAGAAACCCCCAAAAAATTATTTTCTATGAAAAACATTGAAAACGACAAACAGACGACATTTTGCAGGCAAGTTCATGGTAAGGATACGGTGGTTAAAAGTCTCCGTAGTTATTTAAAGAAAGAAGAGCTCAGAAGGAAACGATAGATTAGGGACATTAGGTTATTAGAAGATAAAGGTAAAAGAAGAGAGAAAGACGAAATTGAAAAAAGATAGCAGATCCCACGTACTGTTGGAATCAATCATATGCGAAGCACGAATGAGGAATATTGATATGTCACCTAAAAATCAGGTCAACGTCACGAGGCGCATGAATGTTGGACACAGTAAACAGAAGTAGAAATGTTATGCGCACTCAGGTATTTAAATAAAATGCAAGTATTTGGTTTATAGTCCCGTAGCGACCACGCCAATAACGCTTGCACTACCAGCACAAGCAGTGGTAGGCATGTGAATTATGATGTCCATGACTTCCACGTCATGATTATTATGTTGGCGCCTGGTATTTGTTTTTTCCTTTCATGCATGTCACGTAACACTCAAATTTTGTATATGTGAAGCTGGTGAAACAGCCGCGATCGCACTGTAGCATGTGGTCATGTTTTACATGACACGCGTATCATTATTATCATGTTTGGATGTGCCACTCACCCTCGTCGTCCATTCACGTCACGTAGTACCAACTTTGGTAAATGTGAAGCTAGTGCAATGGCCGTGAGCGCACAATGTGTCTGATATGTAGTCATGCTCTTACAAGACAGGCATGCAATCGGTATCTTGTTATCACCAGTCATATATCTTAGTGATTCATTCCTGTCACATAACTCCAAGTTCTGTATATATGAATCTAGCGAGACGACCACCAGAGCACTATAAGCGTAGCGTGTAGACATTTACATGACACGCATGTCATGATGATGTTTCGACGTGTCACATACGTCGTCGTCCGTTCGCGTCATTATTAGAAAACTCGGTATATGTGAAGCTGGCGAAACGGCCGCTAGTTTATCTTGATTGATTTGATTGATTTGTGGGGTTTAACGTCCCAAAACCACCATTTCATTATGAGAGACGCCGCTAGTTTATCTTGAGGAAGGCATGAGATCATGTTCTCACATGACATGCATGTGATTATTATCGTATTTGCATCAGTCACATACCTTCACCATTCAATAACGTCACGTAATACCAAATATGGTAAATGTGAAGATAGCGAAACGACCGCCAAAGCACCACGAGCACATGGCATGTACAGGCGCGGCCACGTCTGTGTATGATGCTTGCGAGCGGCCTGCTTTGCTCTGCGGCGCGACACCTTGTGGCCGTTGCGTGTCGTAACGTCGCATGCACAGGAGCATGCGCGACCTTACAGACATGCAGGCATGCTCTACACGTGCGACAACGGTGGATGGGGTGCTTGTTTACCCGAAGATCTGTGCCCCCTTACGGCGCTTTCGTCACATATAACTCACAAGACGGAACGCACGTTTCGACTAATAAAATGCGCCTGCATCAACGATGCACAATTTGTGGCCGGTTCGAGGCATGCGATTATATGAAGATATGACGATGCCAACGGCTGCGTGAAAAAAAAAAATAAACTAGACGGCCATTCTCACGTGCGAAGACATGCAATGGGCAGTGAGGGACACCCACGATTGATTGATTGATATGTGGGGTTTAACGTCCCAAAGACCCCATATGATTGTGAGAGACGCTTGTAGAGGAGGGCTCGGGAAATTTTTGACCACCTAGGGTTCTTTACCGAGCACCCAAATCTGATCACACGGGCCTACAGCATTTTCACTTCCATCGAAAATGCAGCCGCCGCAGCTGGGATTCGATCCCACGACCTGCGGTTCAGCAGCCGAGTACCTTAGCCACTATACAACCGCGGCGGGGCAGCGACCAACTAAATCAATTTTCTCCTAACACTACGCAGGTCTTCCTGAGGTGAGGCAGCTCAAACTGACTGAGATGGACAGGGATTCTATAACTGTTTCCTGGCAACGACCGGAGGGCTGCTTTGACGGCTATATAGTAGAAGTCACTGAAGAAAACAGCGGAAGCAGTGGTGTTGGAGGCCTCAGTGTGGGCTCCTGTGCGGGTGGAATCAGTGTTGACGCTGAACACACTAGCATCACGTGCAGAAAAATAGAAGCTTGCAGCGTGAAAATCACCGTACGTACGCAAAGAAAAGGACCACTCGAGCTTACTTCATCTGGTGTTTCCCTGCACGACATCGTCATGTACAAAAAAGGTACTTCTATGTGCTCCTACGTCCGTCTCCTTGCGATGCTGAGTTGCTGAATTTTATATTGCAGTAATAACCAGCTAGTGACCAAAGAAGTGGAAGGAACGCTGTGCAGTGGTTCAGTTTCATAGTTTCTGGCTTAATTTTTGTACTTTTTTATTTCTTAAGTGGTATTCGGTGTGTTTTAGCTAGTATATTTCTCTATACCTATACAACCAATACAAGAGGTTCGCATTTTATGTGCGGCATAGTGGTATTGTCACTTAGCATACACATACGAATCATGCAAAAAAAGAAAGCGAGATATCACAAATTATGACACTAGAAAAGTATGTGCTACTTTTGCATATTTGTTTTTCTTTGAACTATTTTTGCATTCAGAATATTTCGATCGGTAACTTTTTAGGTATAAATGCGTATTACTACTTTTATTTAATGCTCTTTTTCTACAGCATGGTCAATCTACATGCTCATACCCTTTTCTGAGTCGAAAGCTCATTCATTTTATGCGCCTCCTAGCAGCCGTTACGACTGCCTCACCGTAATAGCATGCAACTGCAGCATTAAACATCAATAAAGCACTGGCGCCTCGGCCCTTGACCAGAAACTGTAGTACTGTACAATGTATTATCGGTGCATCCACGTGCATTTTGTGTTGCTCAGTATTTCAATTTTTTAGTTAATTACACTCGGTTGTGTATGTCTACGAGAATGACTTCGAACTCTTGAAATGTGTTCTGTGAGCATTTTCTTTTCTCAGTTTATAAATTTTAGTCTACACTTGAAGACTACTTGTTGTCCATTTCTCTCGAAACAAATGTATTTATCTTTAATTTTTTCTGTGTTCATGTCGAAGCTTAGCATGAACTGCGGAGGGGCAGAGGCCGTTGTCAGACTGTTTGCCTTTATTACTTGCCCCTGCAGTGAGCTCTGTCATGTGCTCACTGTAAGTAAAGTGTCATCACTAATATCACTACTGCTACTAAACGCCTCATGGTACATTATCTCTATTTATACATTACCTTACTTTAACAAAACTATCACACCGACATAGGTTTCAGCAGTAGTCCCAGTATAAATATCAGTAGCATTGCAGGCATTTCAAATATTGGTGAAGAATACTTGCATAAAAAGTCTCTGGAAGAGGTCAGCAGCTGTTGCCTAGGCCCGGGAGTAATCTACAAGAAGGGCGATTCCAACAAAGATGGATGTAAAGCCCAAAAATATGACCGTTCTAGACAAATTTACTGCATTTGGGCAGACTAGATAGGGAACCGGTGAGGATGGAGAACATCTATTGTTCAGAGTTACTGAAGATTGAGATGAATCCTCTAAATTAATTGGTCACACATAAGTGCTTGAGAGAAATCTGCACAAATAGAATGACAATGTAGAAAAGAAAACTGACGAGTATAAGTGCTTTTAATTTACCATTTTAATTGCCGTAATTTACAGCGCCCACTTGGGGCGCCTCCATGGCAGTAAAATCTGGAGGGAGGATAGCAAAAGGCGCAGCAAAGCAGGTTTCAGACGTGTCAGTGCAAGTCATCCTGGTGCTTGTAGGTCGTAAACTGTTGAAGTTGTTCTCGAATGTCACGCAGGTCTTAAAAAACTATAGCCAGGTTCAGGCGCCCTCACAGCCACCCTTGTAAATCTTGCTCAGAGAAGTGCAATCAGTGGAATGTCGGTGAGCTGGTACCCTCCACTCAAAGGAATTCTCTACAGGAGGACCGTAGAGTCGCCTCAATCGTGCAGTGTGCGGGTTTTTCTTTGTTTGCACATGTTTCTAATTATCATCGAGAACACTTAACTATCACTCAAAATCAAGGAAACTGACACCGAAACAGAAAGTTGCAACCACCGAGCTTGTTTACGCTGTTGTGCCAAATAAGAAAAATTGAAGATCATTGGGATAGGAATTTGCTATGCAGTGCCGGTGAAGCAGGCTGATAAATTACGTGTTACTGGTGTCTTGCGTTAAACGCTTAAGACATTACTTCACTAAAACGTTTTGCTAGAACCTTGCTAAAATGCTTTGCTTGAGCCGCTTGTTACCCACTGCCGTCTCCGTCCATGCTATTTGTTAGAGATTAGCAAGAGAAAGCACATAAAATATAATTGCTCTGTGAACGCCATTTTTATTTGCAGATATCCCAGAGGTGCTGCCGACAATTAAAGTGGCTAATGACACATTTGTACTCCGCTGGAACCGGCCAACTGGCTGCTTCGACAAGTACAATCTCGAGGTCGCCTATGAACCTAACGAACATTCGATCTTTAAAACGCAGCGTATTGGTTCATGTGCTGGGACAACCATTCTAGAGCCTGACGTCACCAATGTTACTTGTTCCAATCTGCCAGCCTGCGTAAACACCAGTGTAATTCTACGCACTCAGCGAAATGGACCACATGGACGTGTTTCACGTGGTGAAGCATTGTCTGTGTATTCTAAAGAAGGAGGTAGGTGTTTTGTGGCATGCTCTCACACAACATTGCCGTCTTTATTGTTGAAGTGTTCAATAGAAAAACAATTGTAACGTAAGGTTTGCGATATAGGAGAATTGACTAGTGTTTAAAATTCTTGAATATTGGAGCACAGGATAATCTCAGGCTGCGTATGAATACACTGTCGGGGAGGTCAACAGCTTTGCCATTTGTGGATTTCACAATCCTTATGATACTGCTTCCTAGCTCTAGAAAAATATTACAATTGAATTGCCTGTTTAGCGTGCTGCTGTGATCATGCCAGGGTGCATTTCTTTGATTTTGGTAGGGTTCCCTTTTGGTTCGTGCCTAGAAAAGTTTAGAATTTGCTTAGTACGGCACAGCAAATGTGCTCCTGAATACGCTAATTCACGATTATGCTTATGCAAACGCATGCATCATCATAGTCGTAACTCTTTTTCTCCATTCTTGTAGGGCTAGTGAGACTGCGTTCAAACCCCAGCTATCTTACGGCATTCAACTTCACAGAGTGTACCACTTTATAAAGAGTAGTGTGCGGAATGGTCATGACGAATTAAGATAAACACTATCTCCTAATGCGGACGCTCATATCGGAGGACATTTCATTTATAACATTTTGCTGCATGTCTTCACAGCTTTTGTGGACTTCGACCTCTACCTTGACAGGGTGACAACGACTACGGCTGAATCATCATAGACCGCATCTTCCGCCGTCCTGCTCACCGCGTTACTGCGGGGCGTATATATGTCGCTTCTACAAGAGTGGAGCGATCGTGGTGGGTCACCATCTTTCAAAACTCGCGCTACATTCAAACCCGCACAGCGATCTTCAGTAAAACGAATTTAGGAATCTTCAATTACCCCTTAGAAATTGGACAATTCCAAACACGCTGCTCTGAACCGGAAATCAGTCCTTCCGCTTATGTCAATCTCTCACTTAACACGCTTCTAACCATAAAGAAATACGTCGATGATAAACGCTAATCCTATTTTGTACCTTGTTCTGAACAAGAGCCATAACGCTGCCAAAGCAAAAAGTGTTCACCGCTGCGGTACACACGTATGCTCATAAAGTGTGAATACACAAGAATCACGTGACTGCGTTGCACCCTTGACGCAAGGCAAATGTAACAGAAGAGCACTTTACGTTAACTTCAAGGTAAAGAATTCAAATTATTTTGCAGATCAAAAGGTAAACATCAAAACTATTGCGCAAAACAAAAAAAAAACAGTTCCACCTCTGCAATATTGGGCCTAACAGGCGTTTCAGTATGGAAAGCATGCGTGTGCCACACGAAGACTCTAGATACTGACATGTGCAAAAAATATGAAATGTGCAATTCTTACGTCGTTTAAACACAACGTTCTTTCTAAATATCACAACAAAACTCTATGCTAGCGCCTCAGTAAAACAACTCTCACAAGTGATTCTGCAAAAAAAAAAAAAAAAATTAACCATCTAGCATCTCAGCGCGCACGTAAATACAAATGAATTTTTTTTGAACTTCAGAACGCTTCTTCCCCACGCAGTTCGATAAGAAGATTCAATGTGTGAATACGTATCGTCCAGGTAGCTGTAGTGCGCTGCATTACCTATGATACAAGAAAGGTGTTGTGCTCGACCTTAGCTTGAAGCATCGACGCGTTCACACATCACCCAATGAGCACGTCGGCCATTCTTCACTTTTTGCGGCACGATTGTTTCGCTTTTCCATTTTTATCCGCATTTCGTGACTACTATCGTAAAAATAGGAATGCAAGAAAAAGAGGGATGAACACTATGAGACAAACAGTTGGAAGTCAGTGGTCGTTTACCTTTGTTTCTTCGGCCGTCGTTTTTGGTGCTGTTATTTTTACGATTATGAACAACCAACTAGCCCGATTCAACCTCAATGTATTTGCAGCAATATTTGTGATGTTCCTCCAATCAATGTTATTCAGAAGACACTTATATGGTGTGACGTAAAATCGTGCTTTCTGAAGTTATTTATATTAACTGGAGGCAAACTCCTCTTCTATGACCTCACTGCCTGCTTTCCTCCCCCTCAGATATTCTTGTCCAGTTTTGATGGCTTTCTTCGAGCGGAAAAAATAGTCATATCTACCCTCCTTTCCACCAACTAAGAACTAAGTGCACAGTTTCGAAACACCCTGAAGCGTAACTGCGTAATAGACTTGCAAGTGATTACATGTTATTGTGTTTGCTTCACTGTTATTATTGTTGTTTTCCTGTGCTCACATTGTACCCACACTTTCTAGAATTCTGTAACACCCTTTCGGCCCCGAGGGTGTTATATTAATCTATAAGAATCGAGAAAAAAATTATTGTAATATTTCAGTCATCGTTCGAGGTGGCTGTTTCTATTGCCATTCACTGTACTATTTACAAAGCTGCAAGGCAAGTTTCTTATTGTAGTTACTATATTTCAACAACTTTTCGTAGTCAATGTGAATTACCTCATGCAGGTACTTTAGAGCACTCTAACTACAGTACCTTGATGATGCATAAAGAAGTCTATACGTGGCGAACATTTCTCATTTATTTGTTGCAGAAAAATTGTTGGGGTGAGGAGTGCGAGGCACGTAAATCATACAGCAGCGAAATGGTCGTGAACTTAAAACATCTCACTCCTGGAGGATTTCATACGTGCAGAGTTACCCTCAGGTACAACAATGAAGTCGCAAAACAAATCGGATTCAACGCCATTCAATGTAAGTCCGGCCGGCGAAAAGAGCATTCAAACGCTTTCATAAGAAAACCTTAGGCCGACATTTTCGTCTTTGTTACACCATGGAATGTCGTTTCAAGCATGGCAAATAATCATAACGCAAGCTATTTTACTATCACTGTGTTTCCAACGTCGTAAGTTTATGAGATATTAAAGTCAAGCAGGTCGGACATCTCGGTATTGAATAGTTTACGGCTTTTTACTGTTTTTCGTGCAGTTTTTTTAGTGTTTGGTTTTACCGCGATAGCGTTAAAGAGCCTGTTTCGCAGAAATTCCGGTGTCGGTATCGGCTTAGTTGGTTGTGACGAAAAAAAAAACATCATCTTGTGCATGACTTAAAAGTAAAAAAAAAGATACAAAGAAAATAAGTATAAAAAATTCAGGGTCTGAATGAGGATTGAACCGGGGTCGTTTGCGCGCAAGCATGTTTTCCAGCTCAAAGCCACGCATCTCATTCAAAATGCAGTGGAAATAACCGATCCTGCTTGAAAATGCAGTCAAATTACCTTGCATTCTTTAAAAACGCCGGCGTCCTTTATGCATGCTTCACAGTGCAATATGCAATATTGGAGTAATGTGTGGCATAGAGTTTGCTAATATATACTAGAGGGAATTCTGGCGCTAGTATCTATGGGCCCTGCAACGCACGGCGCTTCAGTGAGCATGGGAATGATGGGTAGTAGACACATTTGTCTAAACTTCGTACTTCTGGCCTACTTTTGGCTCCGTGTGTGTTCGTGGGACTTGAGGCTGTTTTTTTCACGAAACAAAAATCAGCAAATGTTCAGCGATTGTGCTTCACCACCCTATTTCTTTCAACTTACCTTTCCAAATTGGGTCGCGAAGTTCAAAATGGTTGAATCTTTCTTTCAAAACAAAACCTAAACACAGCAATAAACGAAGCCTCAAGTACGATTCGCTGCCCGCAAGTAGGAAGACTAGGCAAATGTGTGTACTACCCTTCATTACCATGGTCGCTGAACGATCGCAGCGCCAGAGTCCCCTCTAGTTAATTTGAGGAAACTCTATGATGTGTGGTACACGCGTGTATTGCGGTCGGGTGTCAGAGCATGCAACGAGGATGAATTCATGGGTTGAAGCGGGCAACTCGCTACGAAAGACGCACGCGTTGCAGCGTCTTTTACCTTAAGGCCACCTAATTGGCGCATAGCAAGTTCGAAAAGACGTCACTCGCACAATTGCCACGGGTTTCATAGCATGCTACCCATCAAACGTAATGCAGGCGTATTCGAAAGCTTCAGTTGCGTAAGCCATTTTGAACTCAGTGCGTACTAGGGGCAGGAAATCGTTATCGCGTTGGACTCATGAAGGCGAAGCCTAATGATTTCCCAATTTTCTTTACCTGGGTTAATTGACGTCTCTGCTTAAGCAAGCCGTAAAACAACCATTGCATTTTGTTTATACTGTGTCGACCTACGTATGAGCAAAGATAAATGTGCGAACACGAAAATTTTCCTCATCCGTCTTCCCCTTTCTCACTTCGCGTTGTTTTACGGCTCTCAATGAACACATTTGCCAACAACAAGAACGAACAATGAATTATCTTACTTTGCCACGTCAGCAGATAATCGCAGAATGAGTGTTGGTTTAAAGTAATGAAGAGCACACGTCTCATGTGTGTCGGCGTTCGTCTTGCGTAACCTGAAAAGAGAGATATAAGAAACCTGTAAGACAAGAAATTAAATCTTGAACAGAAAGTATCAGATGCCTCATGAAACGCGAAAATGGGCTATCGGTGACGCCTACCCCAGTGGGGCAGAACATATCACAACATCACGTTATCCGAAAGTTTCAGATTGCTAAATTTCGTGACGTTGTTCTGTTCGTATGAAAGCTCTATAGCCAACGCCAAAAAGCCCCTCAACATACAAATAAACAAAGTCCTCATATGTCTCTAGTAAGGCGGCAGATACGAGTATCGGTTGCAAGCGGTGAATCAAGCCCATAATCTATGGTCGGTGCTCCATGAAAAAAGTCAAGCTTTGCTCGATAGTAGCAATACTGGCCTAATACGCTGTCTTGAAAAAATGGCTTTTTTATTGCACAAAAAAAGTTCTTCACAGTTTGGGTTCTTTTGTGTTTCACTTTGCGAGTGTTAATTCAAACAAAGGTGGCAACAAAATTACGACGCTGAGTGAGTGAATGTATTAATGAAATGTGGGAACCACTCTTGTATTATTGCCCAATTTTTTTTAAATACCCTTTTCTAACATTTTATTGCAGAGCAAACACCCTGTACCACATGGTCTGAAATGCTTCCTGTCAGAGGAAAACACGAGCGACAAAAGAATCGTCCTCAACTGACGCATCCTTCAGCTGAGACTTGGATTGGTGGTCTTCGCAATGGGTGAAAAAAAAAATCAGCTGATATGACTTGACGCCGAAAAGAAACAAGTTCTATCTCTTCATTTCTGCGAAAAACAAAATAATAAAAAAATTGTGCGCGTATCAGAAAGTATTGGTACACCGAGTTATGTTTTACCCGGCACCTGGCAGCATGAATACGAACGGTACGGAAAATCATTCGAGCTGATCTAGGAGGTAGTGTCAGAAAAACAGAGGTACAGATAGCTGCAAAGGAAGTGGATGACGTTATCTAAAACAGGTAGGCCGGTGTCAGAAAACAGAGGTACGGATAGCTGCAAATGAAGTGGATGACGTTATCTAAAACGGGTAGGCCTAGTGATTATGTTCATCCGCTCCTATGGCACTAGAGCACGCATCGGACGGACGCATGGACGGATGCATGGGCGGACGCTTTGTCCCACTGATCATCATTCACTCAGCGGATATGCTGCGAATTTTTTATAATACGAAAACCACTAACGTAATCTAGTGATACGACGCTATCTAGTGAGCAATTACTAAATCTAACTATAAGTGGCTACTACTACAACATACCATTACTATATGACAGAACGACCCACACCCTTAAGAGCTTCGCCCCTAAATAATGACTGACAAAGTGGGGGAGGACGCTTTTGTACCATATATGCCACACATTATAACAACCATGACCGTGTATTCATTACGCCTCGCGAAAATATTAAAAAACCAACCGATGGATCGATCACTCAATGCACTCATTCATGAGAAACGTTTGCAATGACGCCCAAGGCATCGTCTTGGCACTTCGTTTTGGTCACCACAGTCACGTGAATGACATTGAAGCCGATGCGTAAGCAGTATTTTTAGCTCACTTGCCCTTTTGATAAACACGTTCACTTATGGTGTAAATAGCAGTTGTCATTTAGTTATTGGCACCAAGGATATCCCCCAGTATAGCTATATTAGCACCCACGGTTTCCAGGGTGTTCGGAAGAAAATTGGGTCTGTTTCTGCTTCTAAGTAGGATTTGGCGCTTGCATTAAACAAAAGATGTCTGAATGACGTACAGATGGAAAACTGTCTCATCGTGTCTACTTTAGAGGACCATCTATTGCAGAACGTGACTTTAGACACCCTTGTATGAGGACACCCTTGTATTTCTTCGTATGAGGCAGGTTGTGAAAGATGGAAGCACTACTCGCTCGGAATTATTCATGTCCGAAACTATCGCCGAACTGACGACAACTGATGTGCTGATGCTACAAACTGTGACCTTGAGCACATCGTGCAGTGCTCGTTATTATTGTCGTCACAAGGCGGGTACTTCCAGTGCTTTCACGAAAATTTCCGCAACGCAAGAGGGGAGTGACATTTATGCAGCGCTGCAAGAAACTGTGTTCTTTTACGAAATGATTTCTGAAGTTGATATTTTAACCTCTGTCTGATGGAAATTATGTCTTTAAATTGTGTTCGCTCTACTCATTTGGATTCCTACTAAGAAAATCCTAATAGAGCCGTATAAGCGAAAAGGTCACAGCTGTTTTTATACAGCCATGCCTACTTTTGGGTACTTTTACTGTCCTTAACTCAAGTTGGCTACTTCTAGGGTTTTTTGCAATCTTCATGCTCATTTTTATACTTTCCACATAGCAACCTTGATACCTACAATCTGAGCCCGTTGTGCGAAGGATAAAGAGTTTCGCAAATGGCATCGTAAAAACCTAGTATATCAAGTGTGAGACACGAAAAATATGCATAATAAATTATTATTATTATTATTATTATTATTATTATTATTATTATTATTATTATTATATCTACAATTTAACGTCCCGAAACCACTATATTATTATGAGAGACGCCGCAACGGAGAGTTGCGGAAATTTCGACCGCCTGGGGTTCTCAAACGTGCACCCTATTCTGAGAACACGGGCCCACAGAATTTTCGCCTCCAACAAAACTGCAGCTGTCACAGTTTGAAAAGGGTGAGACAAAGGACAAGAGTAAGGGTGAAGTTGAGGGAGAGTGCAAGTGTGAATGTAATCGAAAAGATAAGGATAATGGCGAAGGGGAAAATTGAAGTGTCGAAGCAAGCAATGAGTAAGACGATGAAGAGGAGAATTCTAGCTTAGCTTAGCTTTCATCTAGGTTTTCTAACCTTGCTCATGGTTGCCAAAAATAGGATTGGCCTCAACGTTTTGCTCGACCAATGACGTCCAGCGTAATGTTTGTCTCATGCGACATCGCTTTGAAATCGACATCGCTCTTCAAGGTGAGCAAAAATTTGAGTGAACGACGAAAAGCAGGATGAGTAATGTATACCGAAGCTTTCGTCAGAAGAAATACTGAGAACTAACTAGAATACATCTTGAAGAAGTCAACATCAAAACACTTGCCTATACGTTCAAGGCGTACAAACAAAGATTATTTTGTGACACTCAACTCACGTAGCCACATGCTCAAAAAAAGATATTTCGAAAACAAATGAGACAAACATTATGAAATATTTGATAAAACAAAAACTGGTCGTGAATAATAGCTTTCCTTGCTTCAAATTCTAAAAATTCTTCAGAGCTGGAACCCAGAATGCTTTTTCGAACCCCTAAACTTGCTCGATTTTCATATACAATGCACAAAAACACTTCTGATACACTGACACATTGCCTAGTAGTGGAAAAGAGGGTATATATTTGCAAGCGAAAAACGCTTCAAAAGACAAAACACACTAAATTGAAAGCATTTTATTTATGTAGATGTTATATATTAGAATATACGTGTGTAAATATTACATTTCTTTTCAGGTGACGCTCAAGTCAGTATGAAAAGTTAAATGTGCTTGAAACTTAGTCTTTGTCTTCGCCTTTCCCACTGTCTTGGAATCATACCTAAAGTTTTTGGGCTGTATTGGTTGACAGCTTTGTTTTTTCAAGAATTCTATGAAATACGAAGAAAAGGAACACAGCTGGTGCGCTGATTGATGATTGATATGTGCAGTTTAACGTCCCAAAACCATCATATGATTATGAGAGACGCAATAGGGGGGGGGGGGGAGGCTTCGGAAATTTAGATCACCTGGGGTTCTTTAACGTGCTCCCAAATCTGAGCACACGGGCCTACAACATTTCCGCCTCCATCGGAAATGCAGCAGCCACAGCCGGCATTCAATCCCGCGACTTGCGCGTCAGCAGCCGAGTACCTTAGCCACGAGACCACCGTGGCGGGGCAGCTGGTGCGCTGGCATCGTTTAGCATAGACGTGAGGCGATTCTTGGTCATGTGGTTTTTTTGTGGTGTTGATTCGGATGTTGTAAGCCCACACAAGCCGAGGAATAATGAAGCACTTTTTTTCACGATGAAATGCGACCGCTGTTGTTCTGTTGATCTTTTTTTTCATATTTGCAGTGGAAGACTTGGGAGACCATTTGTGTTCTGTAAAATGCACATAAAATTAGAAAACAAGTGTCAGTGTATTGTTGACAAGGCAAGCGTTGCAAACGCATGGTGTAGGGTAGATATTATCCGGTGACTCGCTGCGCTGTACTGCTGGTGTACGCTTGTGATAGAGAGCTACAGGCACAGCACCACGTACAAACTTGTGCTTCTGTTTGGAATGTAAATTGGCTTGTGCAGATTACGTAATACAAATATTGAAACAGAGCTTTACAATATAATACGACGTTGCCTCCTACTACATGTATCTTAAGAAACTTTAGGCACATTAAACTAGAAATATTTTCATTTTTTTCAGGTCGGTATACTGCTAACTAGCTTTGGCATAGGTGCAATCTCGTAAGCAAGTGCACAGAAGAGAAATAAATATGGTAAGTGTACATGCGCAGCTCCTAATACATGAGGGCAACAAACAAGAGAAATGAGTTTGTGCTCATTGCCACAGCTTAGAGAGCTTCCTCTGCATTTACATTGTCATTCGTCATAAAATGCCACCCTATACATGGGTTTCAGGCTCTACTACTTGTAGTGAGAGTTGTTTTTCAATAATAACTAATTAAACAAAATCGTCGCTGATTTCTGTACTACCCCAGGAAGACACGCAGCTTTCCAAATACACTGGGCGTTAATTAAAGTTGCAGAATATAAAAGTCGATAGGTTAGCTCATGTAAAGGCTGAAATTCAATACAGATAGCATTGAAGGCACGGGCAATCACGACAAATTGCACGGATCAAATGTGTTGGTTGAAAAACACGAACTCTTACATGAAAGCTGTACTTACATTGAGCTATCACTATGACGTCTCTCGTGGCTTCCTTCAAGTTATACGGGTTTTGCAAAGACACTCTGTATTTGTAAGGCTTTCCGGTTTGGAGGCCTCTCAGATAGACAAGACGTTGAGTTTTAGAGGCTGCAACGCACTGCAGTTTTTCCCCTCTTGATGCTGCGTCTTGTAGCTGCACGTAGCATGCACCTAGTTGGCAGCTACTTACGTTTGACGCGTCGATCAAGATACCCACTGATGTGAAGTCATAATAGAGTCGATGAATGCTGAATTCATCAGGGGCTAGCAAAACAACAAAAACATACAAAAATGAAGTCAGACGGATGGAAGTGCAATGGCGAAAAGTGAACGCAAGTCTATAAATGTGAGAAAAAGTTGCTGTACTTTTTTATGCACCAGTGAGGGAAATACACATGTATCTGTATCCAGGAATGTTGAGCGCACGAGATGGTTGACACTGCTGTGGGTGTGCGCGTCGAAGAACACTAACTTCCCATCATTTTATCTCATTGAACGACCGAGTAATAACGTACCAGCCATATCCACGTTGCGTTACTGTTGAATGTTTGGCTCCTTCTGCAACTCTAAACAACGCACAACGATTCAATTTTCTTCCAAAAAGTGCTCTTCTCACACATTACCTTTGTGCACTTCTGGCCACTATTTGATTTTTCTAGTGACAAATAGAGTGAACAAGACAAAGTGGTACAGTCAATCTTCGTAATCAATAAAAAAAGTATTTGGTGAAGCTTTAGATTTAGAAGCAGTACTGAACAATAAAGACATATTCACTGATTCCTCGGCAAGTTGTGTGATGAAAAAAAAAAAAACTGACTCAAGAAAGTGTACAGAGCCCGAACAACCCTAGAAAGTAAATTGCAAGGGTGGAGGGGGATGAACCAACCCACAAATTTCCGATTTCACGCTCTTGTAAAAAGCGAAATAATATAAACACACATATGAACGTACATAAAGGGTGTTTAAACCCTCTCCAGATAAAATTTTGTGTGCACCCATGGACGTTAGGTATCTGTAAATTGCCTCCCGGTATATAAAAAAATCAATATGATGTATAATGAGTCGTGGCTATTTAATTCTAGTACACTACATTACGCAAGTTCACGTGTTCTTCTTCAAAGAGGAACAGCATATGTAAAAATACGTTCCCTACACGCATGCAGTAATAGTACGTAATGCATCTAACAGCGGCACGCAATCAAAATTCTCACGTTAGTACTATGACTTTAAAAACTCAATTTGAAATTGACTAACTCGTCACGTAATTTCATATTTAAAGATAATATATGATAGACAGTATTATTATAAGCGGTTATTCAGCCAACTACTACCAGAAAAAACACTTCGTTATCTCTTTCCAGTGCAATGGGAATCCATGAAAATCTAGTGTGAAAATTCTTTGGAGAAATTTTCTGTCTAGGATGATATATTATCAGGTGCTGATTGATTACCAATCCAACCAATAAGTTTGAACAATGAGTCTTCAATACCAATGCTGCCCTAGTTCATAGGGATAAAGTTTTGGATCAGCGAGAATAAAAACTGGTTCAAGAATAATAAAGACGTCACTACCACGAGAGGAGGAGAAGAAAGTAGAGGAAAGCAAAGTTAGGCAATACACGGACGAGCTGGCTACGCTGTCATTATTATGAAAAATAGCCTACATGTGAACTACGAAAAAGAGAAGCGGAGTTTCACGTACCAAAAAGCGCAGCATGATTGTAAGACACGGCTGAGTATTGGACTCCGAAAATCGGCACGATCGGTTCTTTACCTTCCACCACACCCTATAGGGGCCACATCCTTTTTCGTCCATTAGTTTGCGAATGCTATGACTGGAGTGAAACTATCGACTGCATTCTTATAGAGAGACATTAACGCTCGTTTACAAAAACTTCACTCATGTAGAAATAAGTTCAGTGATTACCTCCGCCATGAAGAAACACAGGTACTGAAACCCCCGGCGACTTGCGTGGACGCGTTTCATTGTTCTGCGTGTGCACGGTCACAGTCACGTTGCTGCAAGCCGAGACGTTGTTGCAGGTAATACTAGTCTGGTCCTCGTTCATAAAGTTCACTGGCAGGCACGACCCGACGGTCTGCTCTTTGGGTTTAGTATCATTGATCTCGTCAATATTTTCTAGAACGACTTGAACAACGTAGCTGTGAAAGGAGCCCAGTGGTGGTTTCCAAGACAGCGTGAAGTAATCATCGGCGATGGCGGTGACAGTTAGGTTCTCCACTTCTGGTAAGGCTGAAACATGAAGAGATCATTAGAAAACCATCTTTCGTAAACAACAGTCGGCACGATATCTCTATATTTCCTCAAATATATTTTTGACAACACTTATGCCAGAACATCAACGTAAAAACGGCTGCAGAGACAGAGGAACAGTATTTACCATTGTTGTCATGTTTCGCGCCAAGACAACAACACAAATATGATGCAAGCCGTAGATGCGTAGTGCGGGTAATTTTTTCTTATGGAGTTCTTTAAGGAACACTGACATTGCCGAGCTAATTGGAGCAACAGGTAGTGATATGGAATTACGAATGACACTCAAGAGAGCACTTTATTACAAGGCAGCAAAATATGCCAATCTCTTAGCGTTTGATCACTTGTCATGCTTGCTCCTTCAAGTTGTCGACTAAAGTTTTCAATGTCAACCAAAATATCGCAGTAGTAACAACACAAAGCCAAATGTTTTTGACTTTTAAGAACTTTTGAAGTCAGTGTGCACTTCAGTACGTTGAAGTGAGAAACATTTACAGCATTGAGTAGATCGTTGCTTTTTCATATTGTGATCATTGCTGACTACTTCCCTTAGCCGATGTGGTAGTACTCTGGTTAAAGTGCTCGGCAGCTAGTCGGAGGACCGGGAGTTGTATTGCTGCCGCGGGTGTCATACTATGGTGAAGGCATAGATTTTCCGACGGTCCAAAATACCCAAACAATCTGCTACGGTATACCTTACAATTGTAGCAGGAATTCGTCACGTGAAAGCTTAGAAAACTTATTGATCTCTTCAAATGATGCTCTGAGAAGAAAACCATTTGTGACCAAAATAAGACTGCGTCCCATAGTTTTAGGGACGAAAGAAAAAACATGCCTCATTCTTTGTTATAGAAAAAAGCTGCACAAAAAATTGCCCGCAGCTTCCCTCGGGGGAACACTGGGGAGGATGCGGACCATATAATTGGTTAACGGGGTGTTAAAGTGCGACTTACTTGGGTCGATGGCTAAATTGGTTAACGTGGCTGTGAAATGGGGTGTTAAATTGCGACTTACTTGGGTCGATGGCTAAATTGGTTAACGTGGTTGTAGGAGGGGGTGTTAAATGAGTGAACACGTACACACGTATGCGAAAGGGCGGCGCTGGTCGAAGGGACGTCGATCATTGTGTTTGTGGATTCGTTGGAATTCATTTCACCGCGACCTTGGACGTCGACGCGCCGTACAAACCAACCGACGAGCGGCAACTGAGCGAGCGAGCGCCGACCTTGAGTATATATACAGCACGACGGCGCATGCACTGTCAGCTGTTGAATGTTCTCGAAGCGCGACGCCACATGCGCGTCCACTGGAGAATCAGGAGAATTGTAGATGTCGAACGCGGTGTGTAGAGGAGGAAGGGTGCACAGATGGTGGAGGAGTGAAGCGCGCGCGGTGTGTAGAGGAGGAAGGGATGCACAGATGGTGGAAGAGTGGGCGACGGCGCGACGGCGCATGCGCGCGCGTCAGCTGTCGAATGTTTGAGAAGCGGTGCGGACGGCGCGGACGGCGCACTACAAGGCGCGAGTATAAGATGCTCCGCATCTAAAAATGAAAGGTTTCATCACAGAGTAAGTTGAGCGTTTATTGTGCATTGTTTCCCTGCGAGGGTGAAGCAATAGATGCGACAGCAAAAAATTAGAATGCCATGTGAAAGATTGCAAGCAACGTGATAATACAAACGAGCTACTCGAGCATATATGGCGCACGAAAAGACTACACACACGAAAGCGCAACGTAACAACTGCCACAATGTTTACTTCTGTGTGTTTGAGGAGCATGCTCCTTTGGTACAGGTGGCTTCTGCTGTGAGCGAAGTGGCGTTCGTGCACTCTGTAACTGCAGCGTAAAAACCAAGACATCCAAACCGAGAAAAACGCATGCACACGGGTAACCATGCCTTTAGGGCGAAGTACAGTTGGGGGCGTGCAGGCATCGCAACGAGCTCGGTGACGACCTTTAAAGGGCTTTGTTTGTGGCATCTCGCTGGTGGCAACGTGCCTCCGAGCTTTGCGTACCACCAGTGGTAATATGAGCAAGGACATAGCTCACCATTAGTATGCCGAGCAACGTAAGCCCTAATTGTGCTCGAGTCGTTTCGCGTCACGCGCTGTGGAGTGTGGAGTCGTGGGCTTGATTCCCGGTAGCAGAACATTTTGTTCTACTTTTTGTCTGTTAGTGTACAACTTTGAACATCACGTTCACAGTTCAAATGCGCCAGTCAAGTTTTGGTGGACTATGGCACCTAAAAATGCGTGTTAAATATGAACACTAACAAAAATGATAGTAGATACGACATTGCCCGGTAGCACGATACGATAACGTAGCCGAAGTGCCTGCGGAGGTAACGCAAACACTAAGAGCCCATATTTTCCTTGTTCACGCCTCTTGATAAGACACTCAGTGCTCAACAAAGGCATAGAGATAACTCACCCACGTCCGCGCTTTTGTTGAGTCCACGAGGAATGTTGATCTAAAGGAAACATTAGACACACTTGTGACATTCCGGTCAAGGCGCAATTACGTGTACGTATTAGTTAATACATGCGGCCTTATCGTATTGTCAGAACATGCAAGGGACTTTAATGAAGTCTGAATTGATGCTTGACTTTTCAAGTTTACGCAAACTTATACTGATTTACATGAAAGCAGTCAAGTGATGTCATGCATTTTAACGCTAGCCTATGTTTAGTCTATGTTTCGCGCGTTAAATACTTCTACATGCTTCCTTTAAGCATTGCATACGTTACATTTTTCTGGTCTAACTATTTTGCAGAAAAATGCTTAAAAACAGAAACAGAAACTTGCTCACCTTTTCGAAGCACCCAAAGAGAAACATTGCCAGCACGGTCCCCGCAACAATCAGGACGACCGATATAGGCAGAAATATCTTCCAAATGCGCGTTCCATGACACCGTTGTTTTCTGCTCCTTTGAGGCAGCTCTTCGTGAACTGGAATACGCTGACCAGGTTCAACTCCGGACAAGATTATTTCACCTTCTTCATGGTGATAACGGACCGGCAACCTTGGTTGTTCTCTCTTCATATCAAGCAGCTATTGTAAGACATACACCTTGGATTCAATAAGAGTGCAGTTTCACAGGCAGCGAATGGCGATATACATGTCAGGCTGGTTAAGGTGTTTTGATTGTAAAGGTGATGAGTTAATAGCAAAAATAAATTACCTTAATGTATTATGTAGAGGACACTGCTGCCTGTAAGCATAAAAAAATTCAGTGGTTTTAATAAATATGGGAAGCTTTAGAGGAAACCAACTCTGACAAACTGACAAGGCAGGTGTATGAACGCCAGTGGCTCTTCGATCCTCAACTGATCACAGTCTAGTATATTCTCATTAAATACTGACTGCAGCGTTTGTTTTTAGCGTGTCTATCGGTATGCGTAACCACTGTGCATTATCTGTTTCCTGGAAGGAGATAACAGACAACGCCTCCGTGATTGCTGCATGTTCGACACGTATAGTCAACAAATTATTGCAGCGCTAACTCAGACAGCCTTAGTCGCTTCTGCTTGATAGCGCACTCATAATATAAATGTGACTGATTCACTGCAGCATCTTTTGTTTGTTAATTCCAGTGGAAAGCTATCAAATAGATGACTGAACTTCCTAGCTGCTCACGTCGCCACAGCTTGGAATGATGAATCATTACACACTGCGTAAAATGACGACACAAGTCACTGTCTCTTAACACCATTGAACGTACGACTTTAGCAGAGTATTACGTGGGTAAAGTTGGTGCAAAGCCGAACGAAAAACATTTGACCCAAACTGAGAATAAAAAAAGAAGAACGAAGTACACGACATCATAGTTTTTTGGTAGGTAAGTTCCTCGACTCAACCCAAATATATATATTTTCATAAATGTGGCCACACAGAGCATGTAATTTCACTTCACTCACTTTAGTAGAAACATTAAATATTCACTAATATATTCATCCCCATCCTCCTTTACGAAAAACGCTTCAAGCACTTCACGTCTAACCGTTTTTCTGCTTCTTTACATCGCACGAGGGTCTACAAGCAGTGCGCAGCTATACCAAGCACACTAGAAAGGGCACACCACCTTTATTTGATAATAAACACTTCTTAGATGATTATTAGGGCAATGGCCCGTTTGACCAGTGTATAGTCTATATAACTCTATGAAACAATCATAAAAAATGCCCACAATACAACGCAAGGCTTACATTGCGTGCTTATTTTGGCATGACGGCTGGAATATTTGCGTCGAAATGCGGGCACCAATCTACAAGAAGCTACTAGATAACCTTACCCCCCTCGTCGTCGCATAATTGTACTAAAACGTAAAGCCTTCAAGCCAGCTTCCTTTCATATTTTGGAAAATCTTGTGCGCATGAGAAAAACCAGCCGTCTTTACATCACGACCTGGTGTGTCGCTTGAACCTATGGAGCGTTGTTTTCGAGTTCCGGCGCACTGGTAAGAACCAACGATGTGAAGCCAGGTGGACCAAACCTCGAAATCTCTAACTTGAATCTTTCGTTCATATATTGCAGTCTGACAGCTTTGTTCCAGCAATCTACACCAGTAATCACGTGACAGCTGGTGTAGGTTGCTCGAATCTCTCTCCCAAACCTCCATAACCACATCTGAACGTCGACACCCACACATAGCTTCTAGCATCGTAGCCAGGACCAACGCAAGCAGCTATCTCTTTGACGTTCCGGTCACTGCACGCCACCATCTGCTTCACCGCCAAGCGGCAACGTGAAATCCCAGACTGCAAGGCTTTAAATACAGGAGCGCTTCAGTGAGTAAAGCAAATACACGTGACCTATCACTACGACGTCCCGTAGTCTTAAAGCTTGCTAAAGTTTCGTACATTTGATTACTATTCAATACCTCGAAGAAAAATAGGCAGATCCCACGTACAGTGGGAATCGATGATATACGAAGCACGAAGGAGAAATGTTGATATGTCACTTTAAAACCAGCGCAAATTTATGAGGTGGAAGGAAATGATGCCGTACTTGACTTCCGTGTCATTATTTTCATGTTTGAATGTGTCGTTTACCTTCGTCACCTATTCAAGTCACGTGATACTAAATTTAGTATATGTGGAGCTAGCGAAACGGCCGTGAGCACGCAATGAGCGTGGTATGCTGTCATGTTCTTACATGACATGCGTGCCAGGATTATCATGTTTGCACCAGTCATATATATCGTCATCCAATGACGTCACGTAACACAAAATTTGGTATATGTGGAGCTAATAAAACGGCCGCGAGCGCATCATGAAGGGCCCAATATACCCCAATGTAGCGCTAACGCGCGCGCGCGCTGGGCACAGCGGCACTACGTTATCAAAACGCGAGCACTCGATAGTCTGACGCCAGGCGCAACCAGCATCCGTTGGCACGGCCCGACGGCAACTGGTGCGAAACGCGTCATGTTGCAATTCGCGCCGATGCGTTACCCAGACAACACTGCGTCTCCTTGTGACGAAGGGACGCCAGACGCACTGAAACGCGCATGCGTCAAAGCAATGCAGCGTGGCGTGCGCCTGCGAGTATATGGCAGGACGGGTGCCTGGCGCGGCAACGCCGGCGGGCACAAGCACCGCATCACGTCGAAATGTATTGGCGCCTTGACTGTGGTATGTAGTCATGTTCTCAAATCACACGAATCTCATGAGTATCATGTTTACACCAGTCACATACTTTCATCATCCATTGGCGTCACGAAATACCAAATTTGGCATATGGTAAGCTAGCGAAGCGGCCGCGAGCGTATAATCAGTGGGCATGTACTCATGTTGTTACATTTTTATTTATTTATTTATTTAGTATACCTCAAAGGCCCCAGTCGGGGTATTACATGAGGGATGGGCATAATTAACAACATATTAACGATTCAAGCATGGTCTTGAATACATGTGGGTCGGAGTGGTGCATGGCGAAGGCAGGCAAGTTGTTCCACGACATGACACGCATGTCGTGATTATCATGGTTGGATGTGTCACTTACGTATATGTCGTCCGTTCGCATCACGTAATACTGAGTTCGGTACGTGTGAAGCTTGCGATACGGCTGCGAGTACATCATGAGTGTAGCATGCAGTCATGTTGTTACATGACACGCATCTCATATTTGTCATGTTTGCACTAGTATTATACATTCGTCATCCATTCACGTCCCATAATACCAAGTTTGGTAAAAGTGAAGTTAGCGAAACGGCCGCCAGCGCATCATGAACGTGGCATGTTGTCATGTTGGTAAATGACACGCATCTCATGTTTATCATGTTTGCAACAATCACATATTTCCGTCATCCATTGACGTACTGTAATACCAAATCTGGTATCTGTGTCGCTAGCGAAACCGCCGCGAGCACATCACGAGCATGGAATGTAGTCGTGTTGCTACATGACACTCATGGCATGATTTTCATGTAAAAGTCTGTCGCTTGTGTGCGCCATGCAATCATGCCATACCATACCAATTTCGCAACATGCCATGTGAACGAAACCATTGCAAGAGCTGCAGCACCATGACACTTAAATCATGACATTCATGGCGTCCATGTTATGATTTACATGATATGACTAGTAAATTACGTTTTTCATACAGTCCAGTTATATCATACCAAGTTTGGTATTGATACCATTATCAAAACGGCCAGGAGAGCTAAATGTTGTAGGCGGCTAGATAGAGATAGATAGATAGATAGATAGATAGATAGATAGATAGATAGATAGATAGATAGATATGCTCAACTTCGCCGAAGTTCGCTAAGAAATGCTTCGCATTTAAAAACTTGATGCGCTTGCAAGATAGCATTCAGATAAGTATTCAGATGCATCATTTGAAAAAAAGTGCGTTCTGAACAGCGCGGTGGTGAGAGTTACGTTGGTTACATGGATGACATCAAGACCGCATTCATTAATCCATGCGTGAAAAAGGTTAACGTCCAGCCTGTCGAGTTTGTGGAACAAGGAGCCTTTATATGTTTTTTGCGCAAGAGCATACTTGTGTTCCAGCCGTCATTTTTCAAATCCAAAGCTTCCATGCGCTGCTCCGACAAATAGCGTTAGCACACAGTGCCATTGCAGCTGCGAACTCACTCTCTGAAACGCATTTGCCTTTCCCCCATTTAGAACGAGCTAACAGTTCGAAAAGGTATTATTCGTCGCTCGCTATACGCTGCGTTCTATTGGGTACAATAGAACACAGCGTCATACCAAGCGTGATGGAGAAATTTGTGGTGTCTTCAAATCACTGGCATCTTCTTCGATCTGTTTGTTGTTGCACTGACTGCAGGAGTACATCAATTCAAGAAAAGTGACGGAAACTATTATAACAGTAGTCTTTAGAGGCACGGGCTGTTCAATTTCGTTTCGAAGCTCTTGTTGTGTGCATAAGTATGCTTAGGAATAAGTAGCACACTACCCTTCGATATTAGTTGCAGTTGAACTACTAAAAACCAGAT